GTTTATGGCTATAATTAACACAACTGTTATCACTATTGGTAAACAAGCCTCTGAATGGACATGAGTTTTCATTTTCTTGTGTGTGAGTGTGAATACCAAGGGGGTAGAATAGCTGGGTCATTAGGGTGGGTATATACTTATAAAAAAATTCTAAATTGTTTCCCCAAAGTGGTTTTATCATTTTACACTCCCACCAGCAATGCAGGAGTTCCAGTTGCCCATATCTTTAGTAACACTTGAGACTGTCAATCTTTTTATTTTTAGTCATTCTAATGGATAGGTGGTAGTGCCTTACTTTAAAATTCACATGATCAAACCTCTGAATCCACATTCTGTCCCATCTTACCAGGTATCACTTTGGACTTCCATTTTTAAAAAAGTTAATGACAACAACCAGGCTCAAAAAATTAGTGATAGAACAACCACAACCACCACCACAAGAACATTAATTGAACATTTATGATTCTGCTACCTTTAGAGTATAAGCTTGATGAGGGTACTACCTATCTGGTTCTTTGTATCTAGCACAGTGCCTGGTGCATAGTATACACACGTTTAATAGCTATCTGTTGTGTTGTCATGAATTACTCCAAATTTTAGCAGCTTAAAATAACAAATATTTATTGTTCCACACGGTTTCCTAGGGTTAGAAATCCAGGAGCAGCTTAATCGAGTGGTCCTAGGTCAGGGTGTATTATGATGTAGTAATTAAGCTACTGGCTGGGGCTGCATCATTTAAAGGCTTGACTGGGGCTATAGGATTGGCTTCCAATATTATTCACTCACATGGCTTTTGGCAAGAAGTCTCAGTTCCTTGCTGGCTGGTGTCAGCAGTCCTCAATTCCTTGCCATGTGGACCTCTCCACTGGGCTGTTCAATATGGCAGCTGGCTTCCTCAAAGTGAGTGATCTAAGAGAAGCAAGGATAGAAGCTGGTTGTACAGACCAATGAGGAGATGGGAATGACTGAAGTCAACCTGAAAGCTGCCTCAGACCGTGCATTAGTGAATATTTGATGCAACTGATGTGTGCCTGAGAGTCTGCTAAGAACTGTATTTACATCACCTCATTTCATCCTGATAACAACACCTGGAGCATTGTCCTCATTTGAAATGATAAAACAGGCTTATGAAAGTTAAGCAAACTGTCCAATTCTACAAAGCTATTAGGTGGCAGAGCCAGAGTTCAAAATCAGACCTCTTTAGCCCCAGAGTCTGTGAAAAATGGTTCACACTGAAAAGGAGTGAAACGCACCATTCCAAAAGAAATTAATTCAGGAGACCTTTTAAATTTAGTTTACATTGACTCAAATTCATATTTGTATATGGGGGAATAGTGCTAGAAATTATATCAACAAGGAAAGCTTACAACTCTTCAGGATAAAGAATTGGTCCCCTATTCTCCAATTCACAGGTTTTTTTCATTTTTTTCTCTCTTACCAGACTAATGTTTCACATTTTAGGCAGTACTGTATATAGAAAACCCTAAAGACTCCACTAAAAAAACTACTAGAACTGATCAATCAATTCAGTAAAGTCACAGGATATAAAAGTGTATAGAAATCTGTTGCATTCCTATACACTAATAATGAAGCAGTAGGAAGTGAAATTAAGAAAATCCTGGGACGCATGGGTGGCTCTGTTGGTTCAGTGTCTGACTTCAGCTCAGGTCATGATCTCAAGGTTCGTGGGTTCACACCCCATGTTATGCTCTATGCTGACAGCTCAGAGCCTGAAGCCTGCTTTGGATTCTGTCTCTCCCTCTCACTGCTCCTCCCTTACTCATGCTCTGTCTCTGTCCCTCAAAAAATAAATAAACTTAAAAAAAATAAAAAGATAATAATCCCATTTACAGTCACACCAAAAATAATAAGATACCTAGAAACAAATTTAACCAAAGAGGTGAAAGACCTGTACTCTGAAAACTATAAAACACTAATGACAATGCAAAGAATGGAAAGTCATTCCATGCTCATGGGTTGGAAGAACAAATATTGTTAAAATATCTATACTACCCCAAGCAAGCTATGTATTTAATGAAATCCCTATCAAAATAACAACTGCATTTTTTACAGAACTAGAACAAACAATCCTAAAATTTGTGTGGAACCACAAAGGACCTTAAATCGCCAAAGCAATCTTGAGAAAGCAGAACAAGGCTGGAAGCATCATAATTCCAGATTTCAAGTTATATTACACAGTGGTGGTGATTAAAACAGTATGGTAATGGCACAAAAGTAGACACAAAGATCAGTGGAACAGAATAGAAAACCCAGAAATAAATCCACACTTCGACAAAGGAGGAAAGAATATGTAATGTGAAAAAGACAGTCTCTTCAACCAATGGTATTGGAAAAACTGGTCAGCCACATGCAAAAGGATGAAACTGGACTTCTTTTCACCATACACAAAAAGAGCCTCAAAATGGATTATAGACCTAAAAGTGAGACCTGAAACCATACAAATCCTTGAAGAGAACACAAACAGTAATCTCTCCGACATCAGCTGTATAACATTTTTCTAGATATGTCTCCTGAGACAAGGGAAGTAAAAGTAAAAATAAGCTAGTGGGACTTCATCAAAATAAAAAGCTTCTACACAGTGAAGGAAACAATCAACAAAACTAAAAGGCAACCAATGGAATGGGAGAAGATATTTGCAAATGACATATCCAATAAAGGGTTAGTATCCAAAATATATAAAGAACTGATACAACTCAACACCCCAAAACAAATAATCCCATTAACAATGGGCAGAAGACATGAACAGACATTTCTCCAAAGAAGACATACAAATGGCCAACAGACACATGAAAAGATGTTCATCATCACTTGCCACCAGGGAAATGCAAATCATAATGCAAGTCTAAGTGTCATGGAGAGGCACACGGGGAATACTAGCTGAGGTCTGAATTTTTTAAAACACAAGCCATACCTCTAAAACATACTTGGTGTTTATTAAAATAACGGAGCGTGGTACTCTCTGAAGTCAACAGAAGATTAAGATGAAGGAACCGAGCCTTCTTTATTTTTGTTGCTTTTGTAAGCAGTTAGAAAACTTGCAAAGACAGTGACTTGCTTACCAATCCAGACTTAGTCTCTCAGGAAGTAACCAGTTTTCTACTAAAGGTGGCACAAAGTGGGTTTCTGGGACACGAAAAGGAAGGAAGAGTGGCTAAGGTTCAAAGTCCAGGTGGCCTTCCTTACCTGCTGGGAATGTATAAATCACACCAGGACAAACAAGAGAGGGTGGAGTGGGTAGGGCAATGCAGTTTAGGGACTGACGGGATTTAGACAGTTAAGGTGGTGATAATGTTAGGATAGAAACCAAAGTGGTACTCAGATCCATCCTCACTGATTGGCAAGAAAGAAGCCCTCAGCCAGGAGTAGAAATGATGAAGTATTCTTCTCCCTGCTAACCCCGTGGGAAACTGTCCTGTGCACAGTTGAAACTGGGAGTCTGTGTAGTATGCACTAGTTTCAAACCAAAATTTTCCTTCGCCACTGAGCATGCTCAGCTTTCAGTTTCTGCAGAAAAGTGGATTTCATGACTCCTGATTTTAGCTTTGGCAACTTGGGGCCAGAGAGCATGGTGGTGTCTGGTAGAGGCCACAGGTGGAATCTTGAAAGGGAAGGTGTGAGGACAAGGGGGCAGCTGGAGGGGGGGGGGGTAGGGGGAGGGGAATCAGAGTAGGACCCAAAAGACAATCCATCAACGTGATTGGCTTTGATCTGGTCGGCAAGCCTTTGTAAAGGAGCCAGTGCTTTATCTGGAGATAGGGAGAAGTTCAGGGTTCTGGTCCTAGTCCGTGGGAATGAATCAGGGGCGAGCAAATGGTCATTATCATCCAGTAGTGAGCCTCTTGAGTCCTCCCCTGCTATCCCTTCTTGGGCTGCAACCTCCCCTTGCAAGATACTGGGTGTTGGTGCAGAAACATAGGAGCTGGATGGAGGATGTTCACCTAACAGCCCAGTCAATTTGCCCCACCTCCCCCGTTCGTCCTTCCTCACTAGCCCAAAATAGTCGCCAGGGGCCATCATCTGCCTGGCTAGAACAGGCACAGAAACTCACCTTAGCTACTTCGTTTTTGAGTTTGGACTCCTGATGGGGTGCATCCGTATCTATGAGAATCTTACAAACTCTCTGACCCATATGTTTTTGGTGGTAAGGGGAGAGGGACTTCCTACTACTCTATAAAAACAATGCTGAAGATGTGAGCCCAGGCTACAACAGCCTGCAGGCGGTGCCCGCGGACCAGAGGGCACGGCCAGGCCCGGTGCAGGGCGGAGGGCGGTCCGCTCACTCTTGCTGGCAGCCAGGGCACCTCAAAATCACACCGAATCTCGTAGCTCGAGGCGCCCAAGGCGCGCAAGGTACGCTTCGGGGGGGCGGTCCTGCCTGACCCCGGAAGAGAAAGTTGTTTTGGGGAAGGGGAGCGAGGAGAGGAGAGCGAGTTAAGTAACTAAAAATCAAAGTTGTTCTGCTCCCCTCAGGCCACCTCTCCTCTGCTTCATCTTTACCCCAAGCTCCATTGGAGTCAGGCTTCCTCAGAGAGACGAACGCTCCCGGAACCCCAGCCAGAGTTGGGGGACCGAGAGCGCCCGGCCCGCAGGTTTCGACCCTCTCCGACTCCAGGTCTCCGGGAAAACCCGGAGCGGAGCATCCCCCGGGTCGGGATACGCCCTCGCGCGCGCCCACTGGCGCGCATGCTCAGTCGCGCGGTGGCCGCGAGTAGGAAGCTCCGCGCGGCAGTAGCGGCCGCGGCGGCGCGACTGGAAGGTGGGAGGGGACGCACCGGCTGGCGGGCGGGGGCGCTGGGACTCGGCTGGGGCTCCCGCCCGAGGTTCCTGGAAGCGTTTGGGACCGCGAACCCCGGCGCGAGGAGCAAGCGAGCACGGGAGCCAACGAGTGCGGACTGGGCAGCGGGCGGAGCGGAGCCGCCGGGCGGAGCGGGCTCAGAGCCCGGGTCTCCGCGGCTCGGGACCCGGCGGCGGGGGCGGCGATGTTCCACTGCATCCCCCTGTGGCGGTGCAACCGTCATGTGGAGACGATCGACAAGCGCCACTGCTCGCTGGTCTATGTCCCCGAGGAGATCTACCGCTACGCCCGCAGCCTGGAGGAGCTGCTGCTGGACGCCAACCAGCTCCGCGAGCTGCCCGAGGTGAGTGTCCGGCCTCACCTGCGCGCCGCCTTTGGGGGAACTCGGCCGAGCCTGGCCAGCCCTCTCCCTCCTCTCTCCCGTGGTCACCTCCCTTCCACACTCTATCCCTCTTCCACCTCCAGATCCCGTCGCCACGTCCCGCAGAGCCACCACTACCTGCATTCACCTGCCTCTTCCTCCCTTACCCTCCTCCCCTCGCATTAAAAGTTCCTTGTCATTTTATACAAAGCGAGCGACTTGATGTTTTCCAAGTAGTCACTAGAGCTTGTGCGACTAAGGAAACGTTCTGGGCTGGTAAGGAGTTTAGATACACGTCTAAGTACTAACAACTGGCATTTGTACCCGGGCAGGTGAGGAGCCAGGTGGCTGGGGCTGTTCCCAGGTGGAAGGACAGAGCGTGGCATCTGCTCTCAGGGTAGTTTTCCTTGCACTGAATTCCCCGACCACTAGCCAGGGCGCGCTTCCCGGGTGGGCAGCGCGCAAGTGAGCCGCACTAACTAGGCGTGTTCGGAGGAATGTGCCCCCAGGGCCTTATCGCTGGTGGGCAGTGCTTGAAAGTACGGTAGTTTGGCGAGCTGGCCGGCCTTGAGCTGGCCGGCCTTGGCTCCGGGGCCGGTTGGGAATTGTAGGTGAGGGGAGGTGAGCTGGAGGATATCGGGCAGGAGGAGAGGTATGCTTTGGGACCTGTGGGCGGGTGCCCAGGTGCCCGCCGCTGGGGCCCTGCCTGCGTGGACCTGTTGCGTGGAAGGAGCCGCTGTGAACGTCAGTAGAGGCTGCGCCCGGCGGGCCAGCATTGCCAGCCGCCTCTCCCGGAGCGCGTACCTTCAGCCTGCTGACTTCTATCCTTGCAGTGATGCGTTACCTCTTCAGAGTTGTTTACATACATTGATCAGTCTGGTGCGGCTAAGACACATGCTGATTGAGCTTTAACGGAGGGTCTGGGACTGCGAACTTTTAACCTTCGAGCTTGCTGCCGAGGAAATTAGCTTGAGTAACCCTTAAGGAAGAAGGTATCACAAATCCCGGGGTGTGCAGGAAGTCGGTGTGCAGTAATCCAAAGGTGTGCAGGAAGTAGGGAGACTAGACTGCTGGGAATTGGGAGGAGGACGTGAGGCCTGAGCGTTGGGACTCAAATATCTTTCTTGTCCTTTAGTTAACACAGGACTGTCACAGAGACGCTCGCTAGTCAAATGTTCTGGCTTGTTAAAATGACCTGATGGCGTTCCTCAGCGCTGACCAAGTGTTTTAAAAAGCAGAACGGTGTGTTTTTCTTAATATTTGAAGTGTTCTTTCTCTTTGATTAACTTTCCTTGGTTCATGTGGAATCGGATGGTTTGCTCTGTGTAATCATGTGGATTATCCTCACTAGGATCTTTGCAAAGCCCCCCAGGCTTTATTTAGCTTAGAAGCAAAAAAGCCGTACAGTTCCCTCAGGCATTTATTATTTTGCAGGCATTTTCAGACGCATGGCTTTGTCTGGCCTTGAGCTTGCTCAAATTTGACTTGAAAGGCATAAGCTCACTTACTGCCTTAAGTTGTAAGTAAGTTTTAGGCATTGCTATTGCCAGAAATACAGAATATGTTATTTAATACTTTTCAAGTGTGTCAGCATGAAGTTATTAAAGATTGAGTGAAAAGCTACTTAACTAGAAATGTTTCAGTGTTCTTTGTGGTATTTTGTTTGTTTGTTTGTTTTTACAGAACTGGAAGGTTTCCTTTGACTGGATTGGCTTTTTACTCCCTTCTGCAAAGTTTGTGGGTTTTCCTGTAATGTTGGGGAATTCAGCTTTGTAAGGGGAAATTATGGGTTTTGGAAGTGTTAGGTATTCATACTAATCCTAACTGGAAACTTCTCAGAGGCTCAAGCTAGTCTGATAGCACTCTGTAGATACAGTATAAATAAACAAGCTTTTCAGAGGCTAAAGGTGGTCTTGCTTATGGGTAATTATTGCTCTTACAGCTCCAAAATTAGTTTTAGAGTTTCTAGGTTGTTTAAAAATGATTTCTTCATGACTTACCGTGTCTGGGTGCCTGGATGGGTATAAGCCAGACGTGCACAACCACCTTGAAAGCACAGATATTTCATTCAAAGTAGAAGTCCTTTCCTTGGGCTGTTGTTTCCCCTCTGAGATCTGCATAACTCATTAGCACTGCTCCCTGCTGTCCCTACCCCCACCCCTCCTCTAACCTCTGTCTCCTTACCTGCCCCATCACCAGGGGCCCTCTTTTGCTGACAGACCTCCTGGGTCCTTGTGGTGGTGGTCTTGCTGGCTGGCTGTTCTCTTCTCTGTAATTTGTTTGGAAGCGCAGACAAGGGGAAGTCCACACCCCATACCCCAAAAGCAAAGATACAGACATTGTTCACGGTTCAGGATGATGAAAAGCCGTCTCCTTTCTACTGAAAGGTTTGTAACCTCAGATTTGCTTCAGCTCCCTTACTTTGCGAATTGAAACTCAGAATTGAAGCGACTCCATCAAGGCTGTTCAGCTGGTTAGATGCAGAGTCACTGGTCACCCCCCGCCCCGCCCCTGTTCAGCAGCTTTGGACACCTAGCAGGAATCTGGCTTATTCAGCTTTTCACACCCATTAAAATCTCAGTTATTTAGCCCCTCCTGTTTTACTCCTCTCATTAAGCCTGGTCTCTGTCAAACATTTACTGACCCTTCATCATTTGCAGTTGCTAGGAATATAGAGATTAGAGAAGGCATGATTCCTATGAGCTATTCACAACTTTATGGGGAGGTAGGTGACTTGAATACAGATGTGGTGAGTATGGGGTAGAGGGGGCATGACAGCTAGCTTGGTGGTTACTTACCTAATCTAAACTTTTGCTGAGCCTGCATCCCCATCCTCGGCAGTGGGTCCACCTTGTAGTAGCCTCTCAGTGCTGCTGTTCTGCAGGGAAGGCTTGGAACATTCATCTGCAGCCTGACCCCAGCTGGATGATAGGCTCACCATCCCATTCCCATCCACCTTCTCCTTCTCACTTCCTCCCGGCTCCATCCCTTTGGGATGCCTAGTAACGGAGACAGTCTGACTCTAACTTCCTGAGATGCTGGCATGCTTTTGCTCATCCTTGTGAGCATAGAGCCTGGCACCCAGTAGGTCCTGCTCAGTAAACAGCTTTTGTCTGTTGAAGGAATTTAGCCTCGCCTGATACAGATCTTTCAGCTCTGCCTCTTTCTCTTAAGCATATCATGGCTCTGGCATCTATCCACCTCCAATGTAGTCAGAGAATATTCAAGTTGGGAGTGACCTTTTTCAAGACTCTAGCTGGTTAGATGCACAGTCTCTGGTTGCCTTAAGTTGGAAGCCACTTGAGAAGTTAAAGGTCACTGATATGGTGAGCTGTTTTGTCTTCCCCAAGAGCCTGTGCTCCCCTCTGTGCTTCCTTAGTGTTTCTGACACTGTCAATTTCCCCCTCAAGGTGCATGGATTCTTGGATACCTTCATGCCATCTCTCTGGCTTCAGTACAGAGCCTAGTCTAATAGGCAGCACATATTTTGAGTAAAGGCTGTTGAACCCATATAGCTTATAAAACCAAGTTTCATTTTGTCACCTACTCTTATTTAGGGTTTAGTTGATCTTTTGATGATTGCCAGATGACATTATCTCAAATGTCTCCCCTTTCCCATCATTCTTTCTCATATCCTGCTTTATTTTTTCCTAGCCGTTAGAGCCCTATTACTACCAAACTCTAGACTTGCTTACTTGCATCTGCGTGCTTATTTAGCCCCTCCTATTTTACTCATGTTCTTTGTCTCCCCAACTAGTACATCACCTCCAGGAGGGCAGGGATGCTTTTGTTCATGGCTGAACCTGGGGCAGTGGCTGGCACATAGTAGGCACGCACATGCTTGTTGCATGAATGAGTCTTCACACGTGCTGTCATGGGTAAGCTGCCCCCGTTTCTCAGCCATCGTGATTCCCCTTCCTGCAGTCTCACATCTACTATATACCAATCTGTTGAAACTCGTTATGGGATAAAGTCATTCTGAATTCAGTGGCTTTTTTCTTACCAGTTTTTGTTCTCTATCTCTTCTGTGCTGGGAATCTTTGACAGTCATATCTTTTTGAAATGATTTTTAGGCATTGTAAACATAATTTCTGACTGTGACTTCAAATCTCCAACTGTGATCTGTTAAGAGGATATCCATTCCCACTTGGAATAAGTCCCTTTTGTCTTAAACTTGCCATGTCCCACTTCAGTGGGACAGCCGTTCTTCACAAGTTCATGGACCAAGGCTCTTTGGGCTTGTCTTCAAGGAGAAGAGACCACGGATGCTGAAGTCAGATAGCTCACATGCTGCTCCATCACTTGGGTACTTTCTTCAAGCCTTGGTTTCCTCACTTGTTGTCTTAGTACCTGGTTTGTATGGTTACTCTGTAAGTGCACGCAAAGCACTTAACAGTCAGATATATGAGGTCTAAGAGTTTTGCAGTTACTGTGGTGAGATGCCCCTTTTTTTTTTCCCCTCCAAATAAAACAATGTTTCTTAACCCAGAGTTGGGACACATTTTCCTGGGAGTTTGTAATTCATTTTTTAAAACCAGAATTAAAATTTTAATGCTCTTTTCAATAATAATTAAAAACTCATAGGTTCCATACATCTAGGTGAACTTACAGATGAGTAGTGCCATAAGGTTTTAGTAGTGCCATAATCTGTGTTTGATTGAGCACTCCCTTAATTGTCTCTAGCGGAGGGGGAAAGAACAGATGTGGGCTTATTGCAGAAATCACGTGTTTGGGTCAGATGATAGCTGGAAGTTACGTGAGCAAAGGTTTCATAGCCGTTTGTTAGAGAAGAGTGGTGGGTAGCCAAAGGGGTCACAGAACTCACGGTGGTGCAGGCAGGCAGAGTTGCCAGGAGCCTGCTCCGAGGTAGTTCTGTACCAGTATGTGCAGCCATGTGATGACTGTCCAATTGTGTCATTGTCATTTGTCACGTCAGATTAGCGTTGTGTTCTCTTTTATTGGTTTTTGTCAGATTTTTTATT